AAATGTCGATTAAAAAAAACCCACGCGTTAGACTTAACAAACGATTATTGTCAAGTCACTTTCAAATATTGAACTCCGCCCGTTTGTAATTTGCCTACAAACATCACAAATTTATTCACCATTCACGTTATTTTCTATTATATGAACGGTGCTCATAGCACAGTGCAACTAAAGAAATGTCTTTGTAAATTACTATTACTCGAATAATCGATATGTTATTAACAGAGACTACGATTTGTCTAGACAATTTACAATTAAGCGGTGTACACAATTCGTCGGTGACATAATATACAAACATTGCATAACCCTATTGGGTGATTAAATTTTACGACAGCCCGATGGCTACGTTTGTTAACACAATGACACTTGCACCATCCTCTGTATTCTTATTGGCCATTAAAATACTTTCATAATAGTTTTTTCTTGTAAATATAAACTTAACAAAAATATCAGAAAATAAGAGAAGTAACTTTATATTGGTAATTCTCAACAATAAGGATTTTTTTCACGTATACGTAACCAAATGCTCGTCTAGTATTGTGTAAATATTTGACGCGGTGCGTTCAACCGCAACCCCCTTGCTTAACAAAAGTCACCCTCTTTTGACAACCCTTATATGAACGCTACCATGACTACGCAATAAAAAACAAATGTAAACTCGAAAAATCTATACATATAATACAATTGGCTTGTCTGTAATATCGAAATAAAAATTCCAGATTTCGGGAAGATTGTATATCTGCGTTGCAACAAAAATCACTTTTTTTAGTCTGTCGGTCCGCAAGCCGCGTTTGTCCCGGGTAACCTCCGAAAAGGCTGGGCTACTTTTTTATCTTAATATTGCGTGGACGAAATCGCGGACAACAGCAATCTCTTATATAAAAACAAACTACATATACCATAACTTATAGTAACATCAATTTATGTATTAAAGCATCAGTAATATAACTTCGATAGAGCGTTCACGTTTTGGTACTAACGTCGTGCGGAGCCCTATTAAGTGCATCCCATCGAAGGCCCACTTCCGCGCTCACCGGGAACCGTGACTGACACCCGATACCACGGCTCAGGTTGAAGCTTCACTCCGAACTAAGTTAAAAGCGATAAGCGGACTGTTGAGATTCTTTTATAAGAAAGTAACAGCCAGTTAGAGGCTTCTGAGGGAGCCCTTGAGCTTTGTTATTCTTAAACGTTTCTACCCTCTTCACTTGGCCACTTTCCGGTGAATCTGGTGACAAATAATGACAACTCAGTCACAAAAAGTGCATTAGATTCTTTTGGCGGTAAATGTTAACACTCGGAATCGTTTAATGATAATTTACCTACTTAGTGTAGACTTGTGACATATAAATTAAAGTACTTAGCGACCAGGTGACTCATTTTAAAATAATATCAGTTTTTAATAAATTAATTTGATCGAAATTTGTTTATTTTAAAGCACTATAATATTTCCAATATTCTTAGTACAAAATCAGCATCACAAAGTTATCTAAAACTGCTTTATCTAAAACGTGAGAACATAATAAACTAGTATAATCGTAAGCAATCTTAGTTGCATTAAAGTTAAGTGTTTGGAGTCCATAAAATAATATTAATTAAACATTGAAACTTATACCATGGTATAAAATCGATTCAGTGTCTATAGGGGCTCAAAGCATTAGATAACGGTACAGCCATTGGTTTAAAATAATGAACCACTAAAGGTCAATAACGGTAGAGGTCCTTCGTGTCTACATCGCTATATGCGCTTGCGCTCTTATAATCCAATTTAATTAAATACACCATAATAATTATAATAAACTAGCTTTAGCCCGCGACTCGTTCTGCGAGGAATTAAAACAAAAGTAAGTAGCCTATGTGTTCTTGTAGACAATGTTCTGCATTTAGGCTACAAATTCAAACAAACATCCATCTAAACTTTTGTATTTATAATTTTGTTCTTATAACATAAGGTGGCAAACGAGCAAGCGGCTACCTGAATCCGCCAAAATGGCGACCGCTGCCCATAGTCATTCGCGATCGCGGATGCCTTGCCTACCCTTATCCGACGGAGGAGGAGACGCACATAAAGAGGATATTGCCCCTTCCTATGCATGTCCTCCACCGTCAAATCTTCTCTTCCCTTCTTTCTTCTTCACTTCCCATTTCCATCCTCTCCTTATAAGAAAAGGGTGGTAAAGGGAAAGAGACATAAATTAGGCCTCCGGCACCAATAATATTAGTATAATTGTAAAACGATCACTATAAGGGTTTGTACATAACTTTTATGTGTCCAGTTTATTGTATAGTCTGTCTTCTCTATTACTATTTTACATTAACTTAGCTTATAACTTAGCATACCTAATAAATGCTTAGACAAATAAAACTAATTAGAACGCTATGTAAATTAATGAAAATAGTTTAGATAAGCAACATTGATCTTGTTTTCGGTAACGTTTTCACTGAATTTAATAGGAATATTCGCAACCGTCACCCCGCTCCCCACGTTGGAACAGATGAGAATAAAAAGTTTTATCCGTCCCATCTTTTGCGACGAGTTGGAACTTATTTTATTACATAACAGTTCCATCTGTAACCTTATTGGTGTTAGTGGGACTTAAAGGTAGGTCGGATGAAACTTTATATTCTTACGTGGAGACGTAGCGGGGTGATGGTTGGAAATAATCCATTTAATATGAATCTGGATATTCTAAAAATGTGTAAATATAATATTAAAGTTAATGTTTCTTTAATTGTACACTAATGTATGTATTTACACTATTTAATATAACACCCTACATATAAAATTCTTAAAATTTTATACAATTGTTAAATTTTAAAGATTCAGTTTTACGAGGTCTTCGTTTTAAGATTTTCTACTTTGGTTTTAACGTTATTTATTCATATTCATACGAGCTGTTGCCCGCGACTTCGTCCGCGTGGTATTAGAAAACATACAAACTGAATAAATTACTAAAAAGTTACGTATCCCTCGGGAACCGGACATTTCTCGGGGATGAAGCTTATCCCATGTGTACTGCAGACTTTGTTATATATCTGTGCCAAATTTCAATAAGATATGTTGAACCGTTGCAGAATGATCGGGTAAACATTAAAAAACTAAATTAATGAATCCCACGGGAACCGTAACTATTCCCGGGATAAAAAATAGCCCATGTGTTCTTCCAGACTATGCTCTAAACCTGTGCCAAATTTCATAGAGATCCGTTCATCCGTTTAGGCTACAAACGCTAACAAACATCCATCCATCCATCTATCCATCCATCCATCCATCCATCCATCCATCTATCCATCCATCCATCCATCCATCTATCCATCCATCCATCCATCCATCTAAACTTTCTCATTTATAAAATTAGTAAGATTAGTAAGAAGTAAGATTAGTAAGATTGACGATTCTTATTTGAATTCAATTTTACACGGTTGAAAGTTGAAACACAAACCTTATGCTATGTTTTAAAACAAGTCTAACGATGAAATAAATATTTGCTGATGCAGAAGTCTTATTCAAATCTATAGAGTTCTATGAATTAATAAAGTTTTCACACATTAATCTTAGGTTTTATCAATGTTGTACTCCAGTAATATAGGAGAGAAACTGGCTCATTTCCCACGTTCTTCTGAGAATAAACACAAGCAATTTTAATATCAAACTCATTAAAATAGGAATCAAAATTGTCTGCATAGAGTGGATTGGTAAACATCATTGTTATATCGATTGAACTCGTATGAACTACTTTACACGATATCTCTTATAGCTTATTTATTACAATACATTTTGAAACCGCAAACGATAAGCAAATGTATACATATTCTTGCAAGTTATTGTACATTTCTTTAGCAGTTAAACCCACGGAAAATCTGTACCGGAGGCATAAATGAATCCCTTTCCCTTCCTACTATATTCTTTATTTATGGGAAGGAAAAGAAGATTTGACGGTGGAGAAGACGACTCTCATCATCTCAACTACCTTATCCTTCTCCCGTAGGATCCGCGCACCGGGTTTTCATTCTCCAAATAACTATCATCCGTCATTTCAGTCATCACTCCCTTTGATCATGTCGCCTTTCACGCAATCCATCATTTTGTTCCTAGGTCTACCTCATTCATGAATAACGACCTCCTTGTTACATGATTCTTTTACACCTCTGAAGAGGACATATCAATTTGTTAAATCGCAATTCTGGATATCTATGGTTCTGGCCGCTTGCTTGTTTGCCACCATAATATAAAAAAAAAAAACGGAAAATGTGTCTAAAACTCTTCAACTATTGGTCGAGCACTAACCTTCAATCAACCAATAACGTGACCTTTGATTAAAAGCACTCAATCTTTTGTCGTGTTTCGCGGTCTCTTGTACCTTGTAGCCGTGACCTCAGCGTCTATATTCCGCTTTTCACGTCGGAAGTCATTTTGTGCAGAGAATTGCAGCAGTTTAGAAAATTGCTCCTTCACTTCGCTATAACTGACTTTGTTCACAACGCTGACTAAAATGTATGGCTCTCTAAATAAAAGCTTTAGTAAAGTTGTAAATTACGTTAATATTTTCCCAATGACATATGACCAGTTTCCCAACTACTTTTAACCAGTTATCAGTGTTATTGGTTCCATATCTTCACGAAATGCGTTTTCGAACTACGTAACTTACTTTCAAACGTTGTCGAACCTAACACTACTTGTAGCTAATGATAAAATAAATTGATACTTCAGCAACCTAGCATAAATATAGTCTTTGCTATGCAACGTTAATGTAAACCACATTCAATTTTGTGAGATTTATTTTCTAAGTCATATTTTAATTACGTCGTTTGTAGTAACTCTGAAACGTGCTAAAGTTTTTTTTATGATGCAATAAACTTTACTCCGTAATAAACTTAATCTATAAGTTAGTTCATAATAGATTAATTAACCTTACTCTAGTTAAGTCATTTTTCCATTTTATAGTGTCTAATAAACATTTATTGTTCCAAAGTATGACTAATGTGTTTGTTTGTTTCAGATCGCTGAAACGTTTGCACGAGATAAAACTGGATAATTCAACACTACCATGGATTCTGAAAGGTAAAAAAATTTGATTTTAATATTTTTTATAAATTACCGCTACTATAAGCCCGCTAAATTTAATTCTAGTTCAATCTTATCAATATCATAATTGCGAAAGTTTACATGGATGTTTGTAAAAGTTTGTAGCCTAAACTGCTGCTGCTGTAGCTGATATTCTGGAAGAACACATACTTACCTTTTCTTTAATTCCACGCAGACGGAGTCCTCGCCGTATGCTAGTTCTGAATAATCAAATCCCTGCGATAAACATCGTGATATTTTAATTAAAATAATAAACCAGATAATCAAATTGAAACGATTACTTCAATTTACTTAAGTAAACCGATTGGTTTCGGTAAATGCAATCGATTAAAAAAAACAGGTTATCAATGCAACTCGCAAAAAAATGTGTCTCGCGAGAGAGATCCGTTAATCTCAACGGCCTTGACACGACAATACAGACCTAGGGCTGCCAACATGCAAATGTCGCGAACTCTGATTGCGAAAAAATTAAGACCAATCTCTTGTCAACCCTTGTAGGAGGAATTATGAACAAAAACCGCGTCTGTCACGTTCAACCTTGATTCTTAGCAAAAAACAGTAATTTGTTTATTCTCCCTGCCTTTAAAAACCATAGCCCGATTACAAATTTTACAAACTACAAATTAGGGTGTTACAAGAAGCCGGCAACGCATCTGCAGTTCCTCTTATATTATACATATACTAGCTGTTTGCGACTTCGTCCCCGATAATTTTAAAAAATAATGATAAGTATAGTTACTATATTTTTTATTTTTTAACTAAGTTACTCATAGATAAATTACCTTTCTAACGGTGAAAGAATTTTTAAAATCGGCCCAGTAATTTATGAGTTTTTTCGATACATACAAAAATACAAATCTGTCCTCTTTATAACATTAGTATAAATGTCCATAGGTGTCAATAATCACCTCGATATCGCCGCTGTTTCCCCCTTCTCTTATAAAATACAAAAAACCGGGTCAAACTTGCTAGGTGACAACCCTGGCACGTGGAAATATTCGAGAGTTGCGACAGGGTACAATTTACTTGTACTCGTAATCGTTCGAGGTAACGCATCTTTACAATAAAAGCCTTGGAACATTTACCTGTATGGATATATAATTACATGCGTAATTAATATTGGGGTTTCTACGATTAAAATCGATAAATTTAGTAAAACAACATACTTTAAGTAACAGTGGTGACTGCTAAGTCAACATATAAAAAATCTCATTTAATTATTAAACTACTCCATCTTTTAAAAAAATATATACGTTTTTCTTTTATTAAGGGCATGTTCCACCAAATTGTAATTTGCCTGATAACAATCCAATGTGTAAATGTGATGGAAATATCGGATTTTTGTTACCTTATCTGACAGTGATTTTTAAGCTATCTGAGGTTCTATCAGGCAGTATTTGGGACAGTCCCTAAGCTTCATATTTATAAATATGAAGAAAACATACACCAAACATGCATACCAACAGTCTAAAAAGTTTTGTTTTAGCCAACAGCTAAGGAATTTACATTGACATTATTAACAACAGATGGCGTTATTGCAATTTACGAAGGTTAAATATAGCCACTTAATGCAAGAAACGTGCTTCAGTAAACAGAGATAGATCGCGATGGCCTAGATGGCATAGATTTGTTCAACAAATCTAGGTAACATAGTACAGAACAATCGTATTGTTTAAAATTACTTGATTCCTACATTGTAATTTAAATTGTCATTTTTACACTAGTGTAGGAAAATGTTCAAATGTCAATCTAAGAGCGAGCGCCCACCCGAAACTAAATTAGCACAACTGTTTAGTTTCGCTTTGATTTCTATGAGCTTATACGGATCTGTACAACTACTCGATTTTTAGTTGTGCAACTAAACAGTTGTATTGGGTGCGAAACAAACGACAATCACATAACAGTTATGTTTTTTAGTTCAATATATAGATCCTTAATGAGTTCTCATTGACTCTACCGTTTTATTTCTAAATGTAAAATGCACACGAATTACAAACATCCATTGTTCATCAAACTTTATATTAAAACCGATAATTTACATATCTCAATGATTATAAAAGTTACAGACATGACATTGCAACTCTATTGTTAACCATTATCTAACACGAATCACTTCCTATAGCCGTGAAATAAATCACAAGTAACTCCAATCTGTTGTTTAATTGCGTGCGCACGCGCAGCCAAATTAATAATCGTTATATAAAATATATTTTGTCCAGTGGTACTTTCGCTGTACTCTGGCGCCGTAGTGCTCTGATATTGCAGCGGAGTGCTACCGGGTGACGTTATTGTAGTTGTAGGGTAACCATGAACTTTTACAAATAGTTTTATTTAAAAATTGGTATCTACTCTCCAATACAATCCTACAAAAATGTGAAAACACAAGTAATATGAGTTTTTTTTTAAAAAAACTTTTTCACGTTTTACTGTTTTTCACAATAGGGATGAAATGTTTAGCTTAAATATCTCATTGCGGTGATTAGAAGTAATGTTTTGATATGTAGTTTCTAATATCGAATTGACTATTTTATTATTCAGTCATTATTAAAGTTCATTTAAAAAAAGAGAGTCAATTCTGTCTCAACAAAACCTGAACACATATTTTATGATCATTAATAGTATTATTAAAATAAAAATCAAAATATAACAGGAAACCAGTATCAATAAATAAAATGCTTGTCACCGTAGTAATCTTACGCAAGATGGAGACAGGCGCCGGCGCAGTCGTAAGTACTCGGGTGTCGCTCCCGCAGTGTTATTGTTTAAATTTGCATTATTGTGACATTCGCAATAATACCTGTGATACTATCGAATAAATATAGAGCTACTTTAACTGTAACATAAGTCCAATTAATTATTATGCTCTCAAATGCAGAGAAGATTAAGTACAAAATCTATTTAAAAATAAAGTAAAGAGTAAACATTTTAGATAGTACGAGCTGTTCCCCTGCGACTTCATCCGCATGAAATTATAATAACTTTATTTTATTTGTTACGCCTGTCAAATGTCAAAATTCAGATGCACAAATGACAATTGCTTCCTTGATGTTGACAGCAATTTATGGTCTCTTTCCCACATTAGGGTTTTTACCCAATATATTTATCCCCTAAGCTTATTGGCATTAAAATATATAGACTAAAGCGTGAAGTAAGTGTAAGGCTTTTTATTAAAAAAAGAATTATTCAAAAATATGCTGTAACTGCTGACATCTTAGGCAACAAAGAAGTGTGTGTACATTTTATTATAATAATATAGATAGATAGTCGTTTCCTGAGTACTTCTGCGTCTCGGGATATTTTCATTACGTGTGATTTTTCAAAAAAAGAATGTAAAATGGTATGTTTCATCTTCATCCTCCTTATTCTGCTCCAGTAGGGCGCAGCAGGTTTTTGTCCTCCACATAACTCTATCATACGTCATTTCAGTCATCACTCCCTTTTTGATCATGTTCATTTATAATTGAAATACTTAAGTATACTTGTGCACACTTATTACCCGCTTAACATCCTCTCTTTATCGAATGGTTAGCTGTATAACTCTTCTAGAGTTTTTTTTCTCTTAATTTTTACAGGGACTTTGGTTCTTTAGAACATGACAGTCTCTTAATACCTTAAACTAAATACCGAAACCATTTAATTATTAACAAACACAATACTAAATAAGAATATGAAAAATAAAGAAACACCAAAAATGGTATTAACAAAATGCTATAAAGCCTTTAATACCATGTAGCGGACTTCGTCAGCTAGGTCCGTTAGTGGCTCGGCCAAAGCAGACAGAAATCCACCAACGTCTTCTAGAGTTAAGCTTACCTGTACCTTTTAATTTGTATTTATAAAATATGTTTTTGTGTACAAATTTAAAAAAGAAACGCGATGAAAATCAGACGTTTGATTCTTGTTTGTACAACCTAATTACAGTTTAGTTCGAGAATAATCAAGATAATGTTTGAAAGAGACGCCAACTGCAGTCTGCGGTTGCAATACGACTACTGCTGATTCTCGGTTTCAATTTCCATTTAATTAAACATGTGAACTTTATTACGAAATAGGATTTTCATATTTCCCTTTCATAATGATACAAAGACTATAAATGTAATAACACATTGCACTCTAGTGATCATACTTCATATTAATATTATAAATGCGAAAGTTTAGATGGATGGATGTTTGTTAGAGTTTGTAGCCTAATCGACTGAACGGATTTCGATGATATTCGGCATATACGTAGACGATAATCTGGAAGAACATATAGGCTACTTACATTTTTTTTTTAATTCTGCGCGAACGGAGTCGCGGGCGAAACGAGTTATCTATAAAATGAAACATAATAAAAAACATTTTACTAACAAAATCAGATTTACAATAAATCATTGGGCTCTGGTTCCTTTTATGTGAAAATGTAGGAAAAAATCACTCCTATTAATAATACTCCGTCTTACATTTCCGCTTAGATTTCGATGTACGTACATTGCAGAATTTTGTACTAAGTAGAACGCGTTCACTACAGACATAAGTCACGGCGGCGAAAGTCCCGGCTGCGGTCAGCACGTGCTCTGAATAGTACAATGAACGGCAACATGTTGTAGACAATATGAACAATTTGGTTATTACGCACAATATCTTGAACAGGAAACTGCAGAAACAATAGATTTGTACATTATTGAGATATTCGATTCCATTACATCATTATGATAAAAATTACTACAGCAAAATGTATCACCTAAGAATTCAAAACTCAACATTGTTTAGGAGTTGGGTATTTTGTATAATACCATGTTATACAATTTGTCTGCAACACGTCTATTCATTATTCAATAGGCGACATTAAAATGTAGTTAGCGTTACCTTTTTGCTGGTAAATTATCGTTTAAATCTATTATGACTTGTACTAATTAGTAGATAAGTATAACAATAAAAAATTCTATTAAAATTAGCTAAGCAACGCTAAAACGTACTGCCACCTGCAAATATTGGCGAAGAAATTCAAAGATATGTAAGGTCAACCCGCACAGGGCCAGCGTTGTTGGCCTTTTT